CTTTATCTTTTTGTCGTCTTTTGTCTCTTCACTATTTCCAATCATAGTCACTTTCTTTATTTGTTGGCTTTCATTGGGTGCTTCAATGTTGTTATTACTAAATTCATTATCCGAACCTTCTAAATTAGGCTTAGAATTATTTACTGCCTCTGAACTCATTATTATTACATCTTCATCTTCAACGTCCTCGATCCAATTCTCTAACATTTTAGCCAATGCTACTTCATCTCCGACACCATCTAATGCCTCAAGTATTTCTAATAATAGTTCATATTCTTGACATGATTTTTCATATAGAGATATTTTTTCTTGTGTATGTGTTGTTAAGTGATGAGATATCGCATCATAAGCCGTGGTTATACGATGTTGTGCGTAAGTCATAATTGGATTGGATGATGTGGATAGATTTACATCATTGTTCGGGGCAAAAAATGATGTTGTGAAAGAAGTCAACAAAGATTCATCAAATTCGGTAGAATGTTGGAAGCTTATTAAAAATTTTCAGAAACATGTAAACTGTTTAAAAATATGATAAATTTAATTATCATAAATGAATTATTACTTTTTGAAAGGTCTTACCCGTCCTCGTTAAGTGTTTCATGTAAATATTCTGATCCTTGTCCTGGAATGATCCTGAATGGCGTTGGTATTACACTGGCGGTCATATTTGCAGCAGGAGTTTTTGCCTATTAACAATAAATGATATAAAATAAAAATTTTTTATTTTAATTATATAAAACTACGCGTTAATAATAGATTAATACCTTTTTCGACGCGTTCTTATTATTTTCTATATCAATTCCTTTTCTTTTCCTTGTCGTAGTTGTTTCTTCTACGAATTCTATAGCCGGTGATCCATATAATGTTCGTCGCGAGTTATTATCTGAAATATCTGTGGTACTTGCTCTCCTTATTCGCGATTTTTTATTCGAAATTCCCTGATTACTATTATTATTCCAAATTGAGAATAATTCACCTATTTCATCATCTTCTCCTTCATCTAATACAACGGAATCATTACTAGTTGTCACTCCGTTGATTCCCAAACCACTAAATTCTGTTGGTAATACTTCCGCTAATCCTTTTAAAATGTTCATTTCTACAATATCACCTTTAACATCACGATGTAAATTTTGAAAATGATTTAATACTTCAGCTAAAGTTGGGGCAGAAAAAAATGCTTGAGCTGATGTGCTTTCAATATTCATTATTATTGCTGAATTGACCGAATCTACAGTTTTAGATGCCCTTTGAACAACAAGTCCGATAAGATCTTGAAATAATGCGCATGATTCCCGTGCGATCAATGGTGTAATCTCCCTTACGTCGTATTCTGATTATTGAATGATGGTAGACGATGCGATATTAAATTTTATTTACTTTGTTGTATGTTTTTTAAAATAGTATGTTAATTTTGGAAATATACCCGTGTGTTGTTTGAGATAATTGGCTACAATGACCTTCAGCATAGCTGATTGCAAAGTATGAAAATAAGCTGAAGCTATACGTGGTGGATCACAACGTGTTAGGACATCGAGTCCGGGGGCCTAACAAGGAGTGTACAAAAAATTTAAAAATAACTTTCAATGGTAGGTTTTATCGCTTAATTTATGAAAAAAATAAAGA